TATAAAACTTTATACCAATATTAGAATCCAAATTTTAAAATTCTAAGACCGAAAAAAGACTTTATGGCTTAATCTTAATTCACATAACACTTGTTCAGGTTATGCAAATAATTTATGTATTTGCTTGAAGGATTCAAATAAATGAAGTTCATGATCATAAATACCCAAGTTGCACAATTGCAGCAAATAAATCAAGCTGGATGAGCATAGCAATCAGAATCCATAATCGTGGCAAATATTGGGCCCATAATTTAAATATCAACATGTAATTAATCCAAATCAACCAATAAATAAAAATTACACCTCACAGCATGACAATTAGAGGCAAATAAATCATGTCCTTTTTGATAGATTCATCATTCATCCAATGACCCATGACTGTTCAATTAAAAACCGAATCTCATGAAATTGCGATTTCGATGTGACAATAAAATTCGAAATTTGCATACATAATTCAGACGAAACAAATTCATCACCGTATGAATCGAATAAATTACAATTGATTCCCAAAATCCAATATGAAGATGCTCTGATACCACTTGTTGTAACTAACTTTAGGCGAAATACATCGCTTTAATCCAGGAGCTTTCATATCGAATAATTGAGAACCAAAAAACTGAATAGCGGAAGCGTACCTGAATCCATAGGTGATTGATTTGGGGATTTGGCCTTCTAGGTCTATACGATCAGTACCTTTCAGAGAACCCTTTAGCTTTTCTCCGTAACCTCTCTGTCGATGGGATGCAGAAGAGATAATCTGTGGATGATGTATGACCTAGGGACCATAACCCTTATGTACATTAAGTTACATTGGGCATCTCTATTTTAGCCCATCATTAAAATAGAAGACCCATTAGTTTCTACACATTAAAGGCCCACACCCTATTGATACTTTAAAGCCCAATAACTTTAAACCTTAATTGATCACTTTTATTTGGGCTTCTTTATTTGACAACCACAATACAATAATTATTTCACATATTAGCCCAATGTTGGATTAAGGATCCAACAATCAAATCTATACATATATACACTGTTATAGCTTTTGGGCATTTTTATTTTGGAATTCAACTAAATCTAAAGAACTATTTTAATTATCTGATAATTCAAAATAATTACCATACACCTTCAATAATTGATTATGATTTCCGGAATGAAATATTCGGACAAAATTGACGTTATCTTTATACTTACAATAATGATATAATTTCACTGACTATGTATTTTATAACTTTATATAATATGCAAATGATTTAGTCACTATGGGCCTTTGAATTGCTCTCACTTTATTATGTTGATAGTCACGAATTGCCAATAGAATAGCTTCAAAACAATTAATTACAACTATCAGCAAGTACTTTATTTGTTTTAGTGACAGTGTCTCATTGCTATAGAGAAATTAATTTTGCAGCGGATTGCTTGACGACACTAGCTCATCATTGTCCTAGTGGTTGTCAGCGGTTACTCGACCCACCATCAGAAGTTCGCCCGTGGTTACAGCACGACCTTGTTGGAGTGGCTTACCCACGGAATGTAACTGTCTGATGGCCTTAGGCTTAGGCCTCCTTCTTTGTAACAAAAAAAAAAAAAAAAAACAGTGAATTTTGGCCAAACATGAATTTTGACCATTTTTAATGGAAGTTTCAATTTTATTTTCAAATACTTTTTTTTTTAAAAATAAATAAAATACTTTCATTCAAATGACATTCACTACCTATATAAAATTTCCTCTTCCTACTTTATGATAATTTTTTACCGCATGTCATATAACAGGCTTGATAAATAATCTCTCTCTATATATTAATTCAAAACGTGTTGAGCCTAGGTGGCAGATTATCACGCTTTGGATGCTGAAATGACAAAAATCTATGCTTCGTGATGTTGTTTTTTTATTATTTTTGCTCTAGAATTAGGTTTAGTATTAGAAATAAATAACTTTACACATATATTTATTAATTCAACGTACATACGTATTAGTACTAGTTTTAATTAATAATTAAAATTTTTAATGGAATTAGAAGTCTTCGTCTCCGCTATTACACAATACTGACGCTGATATTGGATAATTAGGGATAATTAAAAAATTTTAAAAAAAAATAATTACAGCATTTAATTATTATATTGTATACCGAGGTGAACATGTGGTAATTAAAACCATGTATCCAATATTTTGGTGACAGCTTAATTAATTTTCATGAGATTTGGTATTCCACAAATAAAATAAACCACTGAAAAAAACGACGACAAAGTCAAATGTTATGACTCACTATCTTTCATAGTTCTTACATATGTTGTTCTCATAACTGTTTTCTTAGGGCGGTACGACGTTCTCCAAATTTGCTTGATCAATAGTAATTTGCCTTTTCGTATATGAAAAGAACCGTTTACTTATTAGTGCTATTTATCGACATCTACCCTTATTATAATTTTTAAATAAATGTTGACATGTGTCATTGATTTTAAAAATAGGGAAACGGAACCATTCCGTTGGAGGTCGTAACCGTTAGATCAACTATCTCCAACGGTTACACGATGATCTAACGGTTGCAAATCCTGACGGAATGATTCCGTAATAGGACCATAATATTTCTCTTAATAATAATTAGACTCCCTAACAACCTAGAGTAATGCTAAATTCAATTTTGATGACATTAATGTTTTGAAATGAATACTAATTAAATGTATTATTTGTACTTTGCATCATACGAATTTACATTTGGTTTCATGCATCAGTTTTACCACCAATGTTTCATATGTTTATGATAATTTAAGATTGAATAAATTTAATTTCAATATGTTCATCAATGAAAATAAACGTACTCGTATTCAGTCTTGAGGATCATATCTGATATATTCCCCTTTGGGAATTATATTGATTTTTTTTTACCGGGAATTAAATTGAATTTACTAATTTTTTTTTTCCAACGGGCAAATTACCAATTTGAGCATGTTGTTAAAACCAATGGTTAAAAAAACAGTTAATTGACAGGTCATACCCATCAAGAAGCTACAAAAAGGAGCAAAATAATTAGTTTGGTCAGGGTAAAAGTGGGACAAATTAAGTTTTATTAAGAAAATGAAGTTCACATTTTTAATAAATTGATTATTGTTAGAATAACAGAGTTGTCCCACATCGTTCATATATAGAAAATAGACTCACCTTATAAGTCTAATGGGCTACTCCTCCTTTCACCAATTCGTTTTGGGATGGAACCCTATTGGGCTTCATATCAGAGCCAGGTTTGAGACTTGATATCAGAGCCCACTTTGTGTCTATCAGAGCCCCAGTTTCTTACATGGTATCAGAGCCAGGTTTGAGACTTGATATCAGAGCCCACTTTGTGCCTGGGTTAGAGACATGATATCAGGACTCACAAGTAAGGGGACGTGTTAGAATATCACTTGTTTCATATATGGAAAATAGACCCACCTTATAAGTCTAATGGACTACTCCTCCTTTCACCAATTGGTTTTGGGATGGAACCTCATTTGGGCTTCATATGGGCTTTCCTTTTCCCCCAGTTTCTTACAATTATGAAAATTAGCCATTGTTATTTAGTAGTAACATTTTTTTTTTTGGCCTTCTCAAGTAATCTCAACTGATAGTAACATTTTTCAACCGCAAGCCTTTGCCAGTACAAGTTCGTCATCCATGACTCGGATATTTAAATCATTGCTTCAATTAGCACATTAACTCTTCATAATTACCTATTTGGGCTACTTAAACCCATAAAATGTGTTTTCTTATTAACCCATTAATCTCGTACATATAAAGCAAGCCCATTTCAAGCCCACTCTTGAATATTATTATACAACTAGAACTAGACATGACCATCGGGCCTGATTGGCCCGTCGATCACGCGGCTTGAGCCCGGTTATTGGGACTGACCCGTGTAACGGAGGAGTCGGTTTTGGGTTCTCCGGGTGACAACCCGTGCCGATTTGATCCAATTAAATGGAACCAAAAGCCCAAAAAAAAATAAAAAATTTATATTGTTGAAGTTCAAAGGACAACAAAAAGGAAAAGTTGAATAAAAGAAGCTCTAGGAAATGGCAATGCCATATGAATTCACATCATTTCTTATAGAAAAATAGAAATATAGAAAAGGAACCAAATGAAAGCTGAAAAAAGGATATCATAAGCTGCCAAAATCCCCATACACATTTTTTCCAATTTTCACTTTCCCTTTGATTCTCTCGAAAAAAACACAAATACAAACACAAGGCTCTCTTTGTCCACTCCACACCCTTTTTCAAACCCTCTGGCCTTCCTACTATCTCCACTTTATCTTATTTTATTTATTTAAAAAAAAACTATTTATATTAGTGTAATAAATACTAATTTAGAAGGATATGTACCCATTTTTATATCACAGTGAACAAACTAATTAATCTTGAACATTTAGTTGAGAATTTCATTTTTGCTAATTTTTCTATTATAGTCTATATTTTATCTAGTTGAAGCATTATATGAACATAAGTTCGGATATATAACATAAGGAAGATGATACGGTCCCGTTACGGAACTATTCCGTCAGGGGTTTGTAATTGTTAGATCAATTATCTCTGACGGTTATAAATTTTGACGGAATAGTTCCGTAACGAATTTTTATCACTGAGCGATCATTTAGGGGCCTTAGAGAGAGCGATGTGCATAGACCTCTGACGGTTACAAATTCTGATGGAATGGTTCCGTAACGAACCTCAGCATTTCCCTATAAATCGAAACACAAATTGTAAATTATGCTAGTGGCAAAATTAGTTTATTGTGATTGTAGCATAAGGAAAACATAATACTAATTTGCTTACATTTGTACAATAACAATATCGTAAGAATAATAAAAAAGTAATAAATTCCAGTTAAAAAAAGAAAAAAAAAATAGTAGACCATACTCGATAGTATTAGCAGTACACATAATATCAAATAAAGGAGAAAAGACCATTCACTTTCTCACACACACACACACACACACACACACAAACCCACAAAATACACACAACTTTTCTTCTTCCAGAGCAAAAGTTGTACACATGATTTTCATTTGTCCTACATTTCAAGTAGAATTCCTTCACAACTTTCACTCACTACCTCCTAAAATCCTCTCCTTTTTGGTTAAAATCCACACACCACTCACTCACCCTCACCATTCCCCATACCCAAAGGACACAAAAAAAGCTTCATCTTCATCTCCCTTTTTCTCACTCTAACCATAACCAACACATCAATCAAACAATCTAAAGAGAGAAACTAAACTCGGTTTGAATGAGAACCGCCATTGCCGTCTTCCTCCTCCTCCTCTTGTTCCACCTCTGCGGCTCCCTCGCCGGCCTTCTCGCAGAGCCGGCCCAGCCTCTGAACCCGGTCGACTTCAACACCGTCCCAGCCCTACCGGTCCAGACGGCTTCCCGGACCTGCCGCCTGGACCTCTCCGCCGAGCTATTCGGCGGCGTCGCCGCCGCTTGCGGCGGCAGCGTCCTCGACCGGAGCCGCTGCTGCCCCGTGCTCGCCGCGTGGCTGTTCGCCGCACACGCCCGGTCGGCCCTCCAGATCACGCCGACGGCGGCGGCGGCAGCCTCGCCGGCCGGCTCGGAGATGCCGATGTTTCCGGACGACTCGCAGAACTGCGTGAACTCGCTCCAGAGCTCGCTGAGCAGCCGGCACATAGTCCTCGCCCAGCCGAACTCCACGTGCGACACCGTTTTGTGCTTCTGCGGGATCCGGCTCCACCAGATCACGTCGCTCAGCTGCCCGGCGGCGTTCAACATCACCGGAGGACACCGGAACGCAACGCCGACGGCCGCGGTGAGGAATCTGGAGACCAACTGCAGGAACTCGTCGTACGCCGGGTGCACCAGGTGCTTAGGTGCTCTGCAAAAGGTCGGTTGTTTTTTTCTTTGTTTTTTGTGAATTTAATTCGCGTATTCATTTCGCTTATCATTATTATATGCTCAATTTGACATTTATTCCTCAATCATTTGATAGTGTGGTGGTGCAATAAATACATGTACACATATTCCTCATTTATTGCTGCTGTGTTCTTTCTTTCAACCTTGTTTTTCATTGTTTTTTCCAAAGTCGAGGAAAAATTATGTTTATGAAATAATTTCGCCATTGAAAATAGACTTCGGGTCAATTTTTCTAAAGGTTTATTCGGCTTTTCTGATTTAAAATAATAGTAGTAGATAAAATGAAGATGAGGATTTTATAAATTTTAAAATACTCCAATACGGCTGTGGTCTAATAATAAAATGGCTGGTAGTGACGACTTTCTACCCAAAAATCGGTGTCTTTTCACCTGCTTCATTGGCTTTTTGTTTGCGTTGCTTTTTGGTTTTTTTTTTTTTTTTTTTTTTT